ATTCAGCTTTGGTCAAAGCTTACCTGGAATACTGTGGCCAGTTCTGGGCACCATAGTTCAAGATGGATATTGAAAAGCTGAATCATGTCAAAAGGAGGATGACCAAAATGGTGAAAGGTCTGGAAACCATGCCGTATGAGCAGTGGCTTAGGGAGCTGGCTGTGTTTAGCATGGCACGATAGCCATGTTTAAATATTTGAAGAGATGTCTTGTTTTCTACTGCTTCAGAGACTAGGACACAGAGTAATGGATTCAAGCAACAGGAAAATAGAGTCCACCTAAATATTAGGAACAACTTCGTGATGGAAGGAGCTGTTTGACAGGGGAACAGTCTCCACTCTGGTGGAATCTCCTCCTTTGGAGGTTTTTGAACAGAGGCTGGATGGCCATCTGTCAGGAGTGCTTAGATTGTGTCTTTCTGCATGGCAGGGAATTGGACTGGATGGTCCTCGTGGTCTCTTCCAACTCTATGATTCTGCAATTGTACCCTGAATATATCTTGCCAAGAAAACCCTCTGATAATTCTCTTTAGGGTCACTATACATTAGAACTGGCTTGAAAGCATACAACAGCAAAAGCTGCTGATGGCTAGTGGCCTTATTTGGTGGATGATGAATCTGCTGCTGGTTTTGGTCTGAATTTTGAAGATCCTATCCAAGATGCTGAGCTTAACCCTACCCCCCATATGTTCAGCACTTTGGATAGCTTCAGACCTGGAGCAGATTCACCGTATATTAACACAAAGCCCCCAACCACTACTAGTGCATCTATGTACAATGTATGTAAACTCACCCCCAGTGGATAGACTCTCCTTTGATCCAAATAGCCTTCTGGAAGCACGAGCAATTCAGATTTAGAAACCTATTTCCAATTCTTCATTAAAAATTTGGAACTGAAATACTTTCCTTGCCATTAGAACCATTAACCAAAATGTAAGTGCAGTTGTAACAGATGGATGAATGCAGGGAGGTTAATGAATAATATTTATCATCTGATTTTAAAATGTTTAGTGTGCAGTGAGGCCAGCATGGTGATTATTAAGTCAGTAAATCATTACTTTAAGATTTGTATTGGTGCATCAGGAGTTCAGGCAGCCTAAAAGAATAATAAGTATTTAATTGTTTTATTTGTGTGAAGAGCAGAGATGTATAGGTATGAAGTCTGCCTTTCAACGGCCCATCAGAATAAGAGTTGTTTGAAGAGATTTGTGGGAAGAAGG